CGGGCCCGCACGGGACCCCCTCCGCGCCCCCGTGTCCGCTTTCCCATAGGAAGTCACGAGCAAGACCGATAGGGCGAGATCGCCGGAGTACCCACTTTTTGGGGCCCCCTCCCAGCCTAGCATACCCCTGGGTGTCCCCCGCCCTGTCCCGCCGCCCGGACGTGGCGACTTGGGGGGAGTGGGGAGAGCAGTATAAAGGCCGAGGTGGCGCCGCAGAGCAGAGACGTGGCGCGCGCTGCAGGCCCAGGTATGTGTGGGCCGTCAGGCGGGGTTAGGCCCAGTCTTGGACTCTATGAGGTGACCTAGCTCTTCGGGGCACCTCCGCCCTGAGGGTCCCTGGAGGGGTGGGAGTGAAATGCAGGCAGGGATAGGGCAGGCCCCTGGGCTGGGCCGCGCGCTCAGACCTACTGCAGCCGCGCGGGACGGGTGGTGCCCTGTGCTGCGGCCCAGAGGACTTGTTGCAGCACCTTACTGGGATCTGTCCGCCTGGCGCAGCGCTCAGGCGAGGGGCTGGTGGTGGGCCAGCGCGACCTGTGCCTCCGGGATGCTGCCCATCACCTGGCGTGCCTGGGGGTGAGTCAGGGTGAGTGGGAGGTTCTGAGTTGGGGGCTTTCAGAGGACAAGCAGGACTGGTCCCCAAAGCTTCCTCCTCAGAGCCAAGAGGATGTCTCCAAGGGTCTGGGTCTGACAACCTCTCCCTGACCAGCGAGGGTGGGAGCAGGCCTCCCCCAGCCCCTTGTATCCAGAAGCCCCCTCCCCCCACTCACCTTGTGCTTAATTGTAAAACAGGCGGGACCATCCCCTAGCCCACAGCGGCAGCCTGAAAGGGGGGCAGTGGGAGTTCCCATTGTGTCCTTCCGGAGTTAAGTCTTTTCTAGAATTGTTTTATCGGAATGAAAGAGAGCCCAAACAAAATGCACAGTCTCAGGTCCAGGTTCCTGTGCCTGGGGTCTCCCTTGGACCCTCACCACAGGCCACCCATCTGGCAGGATGCCTCTAAGCTGAAGGTCCTCCCCAAGCTGGCAGTGGAGCACTGAGCCCTGCACCCTGCCCCTAGCCCTGGCCAGCCTGGCTGCCTACGTGGCGCCCAGGCCTTTGAGAGCCCTGCTCCTAGAAGGAGGTTGGAGGATCCCAGACTGTTACTGGGGGTTGGAGGGGGAGATGGGGGACATGCCATTAGAGCCCTGGTGCCCCAGATCCTTGGCTGGCATGGAGCTGCGGGAGCCTCATCTGCACCAAGAAAGGTAACTGGAATCAGGGCCCAGATGGGCTTAAGCAATCTTTGTCACCGCCTCCAGTTTGCAGTTAACACTTAACAGCTAGGAAAAAATCTTAGCCTGCAGCAGTGCTCTAGAATAGAAGATAGTGGTGAACTGGCTGAGTTGAGAGAGACAGAGAGAGTTTGTATATAAGTGAGTGAGTGAGTGAGTGGGACCTTGAGCCCTGGAGGTGTTGTAGTTATGTTTTGAGCTGCTAACTGCAGTGTCAGCAGTTCAAACCCCTTAGCCGCTCCAAGGTAGAAGGATGGGTTGCTCTGCGCTTGTAGAGAGTTACAGTCCTGGAAACTCACAGGGGCGGTGTGAGGGCCGTGAATGGGCTTTGGGTTGGGTCTGGCTGTGCAGAAGCACCTTAAAAGGAATGCGTGAGGAGGGTAAGGAATTACAAACCAATAACTGGCAGGGACAAAGGGAAGGCCTGGAGGCGATGGCCGGGCCCCTGGCTGCAGCACCAGGTTCAAAGGTAAGAAGGCCTGTGCGGATGACTGTGGAGCGGGTGGTGTTTCCTGCTGCTGTACGTTAGTTGCTATGGGTCAGAGCCGACCATCCCAACAACAACGGGGGCAGGGGAGGAAGGAGAGTCCCTTAGTCAGTTGTCCGAGGCTCCACAGGTGTGGCCTGGGCTGTGTGTCTGAGGGCTGGGACTGACTGAAGCCCTGGCTAAGCATCCTGAGCTTGGGGGACTGTGGGCTAAGGGGATCTCCCTGCCTTGTTTCTGATCCGCAGAAAAGCTGGGTTTCTCTCCGACCGGCGGGACCACCTTGTACAGACCTACAAGATGCCAGCGGAGGTGAGTTGGTGCCTGGGAGTCTTGATGGTGGCACAGGTGACGTCCCAGTGATTTGTCACCCGAGTCTCCTGGTCCTGCATGAGCTCTGTCTCTCAGGTGCTGTTCACAGACGCACTGCCTTTGTTATGCTGTACACACACACACATACACACACATATACATATATATACATATATACACACCAGCTAGAGAACACTTGTGACGGTTTAAAACCAAAATGTCTCATTCTCATCAAAATAAAGCCGGGGCTCCCCAACGCTGCGGGGGGCACAGGTGCTTTGCAAGGCAGGGGACATGGTGAAAATGATGAATTCTGGGTCTCTGAGTCATGTGACCTGAAAAAGGCCATCCATTTCCTGATTCACCCGTGTCTTCCTGCAAACCTCAAGGGGCGCCCAATCTCAGGCCAGTACTGCCCGCAAACCCTGTGTCTTTACGCCCCTCCCTCCCGCAGCCCCAGGAGAAGAGAGTCCCCACCTGGAGGGGACCAGCAGCTTCGAGGGATGTGGTGATGTGGAAGTGAGCGTGAGAACGGGATGTCATCCAGCACCGCCTTCAGGCCACAGGGACGGAGCCAGTGCTGATGCCTGCGAGTTCTCTATACTCAGTGCTCCTCTCCTGGTGAGGGGCCATGGGTCTCACCCCAGTAAACTGAGGCCCAGAGACAGCCAGCCATCTCACCAAGACTGGCTGCCTATATCCCAAGATTCCAGGTCACGGGGACCAGCCACTAGGGCTCCACAATGAAGGATACCCCTGATGGGGAGGGTTCGGGAGCAACAAGTTCTGTGGCCCGGCTGGGCTCCCAGGTGAACCACAGCCCGTGGAAGCCCAGCCCCAGCAGGACAAGGACGGCACAAGCCAAGCCAGTTCCAGGAAGCTGAGCCCAACCCAGGACTGGGGGGTCCAGTACCCCTGCAGGCCTTTCTGCACAGGTGGGGTGGTCTGGAACTGCCAACGTTCAACTGTCTGCGCTGCTGCCCAGGGACCCCAGTGATCGCAAGCAAAAGAATGAGTGTCAGAGGGTGGGGGACAACCACCTGGACCTCTCCTGGGCCTCTGCCAGCCATGGCCAAGTCAGACCAGAGTGCCAGGCCCAGGCTCAGGGCCCCCCTAGCGTGAGTAGAAAGTATTCCTCCAGCAGGAAGCAGGAAGATGTCTTCCCTGCATCAGGGTCCCTCCGCCACTCTCACCTTAGCACCCAGGTGCATCCTTGGACAGCATCTGCATAGCCTTCAGAAGTGCCCCCATGCTGGTCGTTTTAGTCACAGGGGAATCTGTGGGGCGTCTTGGGCAACCACCAGGTAGCCTGGGGTACCCCCCTCTGACATGCTCTCCCCAGCCCAGGTCCACTGCTCCACCAGGCCTGGAAGAACTCTGCCACTGTGACCCCTGCCTGGGTCAACCCTGCCCACTTCTGAGACGGCCTGGCTGGCGCTCAGCTGAGAGCCACAACCCCTCTCCGCTCGGGTGGGGGGGCGCTTTTTTCAAGGAGGCAAGCTGGTTAGAGTTGTCCCTGCCGGGAGCCTGGGCAGTAACTCCGGATCCAAGAATCAGCATCTATCACCCTGGAAGTGCTCCCTGCAGTGCTGCGGGAGAGTGGGGTGGTTTTCAACAGCAGTTCAAACCTAGGAGATGAAGCTTTCTACTCCTGTGATGCGTCACCTACGGGGGCAGTTCCGCCCTGTCCTGCCGGGTGGCTGGCCGTCAAAAAGGACGGGATGGCAGTGATGGTTTTTCCCTGAGCAGAGCTGTTGGGTTCCAGTGTGCGGGAGGGGAGGGGGCTGTGGCAGGATGGGCCCCTGCCTCCCTCTCGGCCACCAATACCTGTTGGCAGAGGCTGGCCCGGTTCCCCAGGCGTCTGAAGACTGGCGGTTAGGAAGAAAGACCTGGAGTTCTACGGACTCCCAAAAAGCCCCTGGCATCACCACAGTCTGACCTGAGCACCACCTCCTTCCTTGGTGCAAGTGGGTGTGGGGCGACTGAGGGCCAGGTGCCCACTCCACTAGCCCCACACCCATGAACAGAAGGCGAGGTCTGCAGAGGAAGGCTGGGCTCAACTTCCACATTCCACCGGTTGAGCTCCTAAACACAGATTTCTGGCAGCCGAATTTCCTCACAATAAATTCAGGACGCTCAAAATAGCCCAGGTCATCCTTGCATATGTGTGGTGAGGGGATGGGGACATGGCTCCCTGAGAGAGGGCCAGGGTACCTGGAGCAGATGGGTGGCTTGTAGCTGGAGTATGAAGCCCCCTCAGGGCATCCTGGTACCTGCCACGGACACAACCCCCATTTGTCCGTGAGTGAGCAGGGTGTTCCTTAGCCTGTGGTCCCGTCTGGGGAATGGGGGGTGGGGGGGGTGGGGAGGGGGGAATGACATGGTGCGCATGCTGCATTCTGTTACCCTTGGAAAGATGACTTTATAAATGTTTACCCAGCTTCGATTCAGAAGCACAGCTCCTCTGCCGTCCGCCTCACCATTCACCCAGCCTGCTAATTCCTAACGAGAGGATTTCTAAGGAGTGAAATGTCACTGGCGGGCCAGACGTCTTCTGCAGCCAGCGTGCAAGACGTGTTGGTAGATGGCCCTGCATCACCCACTCATCTGAGTGGCCCTTGTGTGGCTCTGTCTCACCCAGCCAGATGTGGTGGCCTTGCCGATTCCCAAACCCCGAGGACCGCCTTGTGTCTTTGGCCCTCCGTTCCTGTCTCCTTGACCCCGCCACCAGCCCTCACCTGGTGCGTTCTCTCTGTCCTCACCCCAAGGCTTCAGTGGGGCCTCACAAGCTGGAAAGCTTGGTCGTGTTAACCTGACTGCCCACACAGCCTTTCTGGGGCCTGCCTGGCCCATGGGTGCGCAGCACCCACCCCCCGCCCCAGGGGAAACAGATGCCAGTCTCCTGTCTCTCACTGCACCCCCACCTCCATGGCTCCTTCTGAAATTCGTTGGGATGACTCAGAGGAGAAAGGAGTGTGCTCACGCTCATCCTTACAATTCCCCATTCATTATCACAGCAGAGAGGGTACAAACAGAGCTGCACGGGGAGGCTTCCACTGTCCCTCCTGCCCCCGCCCCCAACCATCCCTGGAAGCCCTCTGTGCGGGGCGAGGCTGGGCCTGTGTTGTCTCTGGGTGTCAACTCACGACCGCCCCTTGCATAGCTGCCAAACACCGCCTGGTCCAGCACAGTCCCCACAATCGTTGCCGTGTCTGAGCCCACCATGCAGCCACGGTGCCTGTCCTCAGTGAGCATTTTCCTCTTTTCTGCTGTCTCTGCACACAACCAAGTCTAATGTTCTCCAGGGATGGGTCCCTCCGGAGATCTGCCCCGAGTGAGTGAGTGAGTGAGTGAGTGAGTGGAGTGCGACAAGCCACCACCCAGGCTTCCCAGACAGGTGTGTCCTTCCCTCTGGAAGCCCCTGAGACTCAGTGCTCAGCCTTCCCTCCAGCACTGTACATGCAGGTCTCTCTCCAGTCGGCCTGCGCCACCACCCAGCTTTCTCCCACCCACGAGATGAGCACAAAGGCCATGCCTTGGGCCCAGCTCACCTTGGTCCTCTACGGGACAGTTCTGCTCTGGAACATGTTAATCAAGAGGCTTGTGCGGCAGATTTGCCCGGTGCAATATGTCATTTGATTTCTTGCTTACTGCTTCCATGCGTGTTGGCTGCATTCAAATGAAAATAAATCCTTGAGAACTTCCGCCTTTTCTCCATTTAGCAGGACGTACCTGCGAGTCCAGTTGTGAGGATTTGAGTCTTCCTTACATGGCGTTATAATCCATACCGAAGGCTACAATCCTTGATCTTCCTCAGCAAGGGCTGCAAGTCCTCCTCACTTTGAGCAAGCATGGCTGTCATCTGCACACACAGGGTGTCATTAAGCCTTCCTCCGGTCCTGATGCCGCACTCTTCCTCGTAGAACCCAGGGCCCTCGGCTAGTGTAAAAGGCCTGGAAAATGTAAAGCTGGGCCTTCGGTTCTGCTTTGGCGGTTCTTCTTCTATTGAGTGGTCCTCTGCAGTGTTCCTCCTACTTTCTTTCATGTGCATCTCTGCATCCCACCATCCAGATTTCACTTTTCTGAATGTAAACCAGCTTTTTTGATGACCTGCTCAGCCTACAGATTAACCAAGCTTGGTGAAAGGATATAACCCTGATGCAAAACCTTTCCCGATTCTTATCCATGCACTATTCCCTTGATCCATATGCAAATTCCACTGGAGCACAATGAAGTGTTCTGGAATTCACATTCTTCGCAAGGTTATTCACAGTTTATTGTGATCCACACAGTCAAATGTCTTCACATAGTCAATAAAACACAAGTAAACATCTTTCTGGTACTTTCCACTTTGAACCAAGATCACCTGATATCAGCAATGAGATGGGAGCTCCCGACTCATGTGCAGTATGTAAGGTCTTTATTCAATGGTAAGAAAACCAAAATCCTTGCAACTGGACCGATATGTAACATCATGCTAAACGGGGAAAGATTGACATTATCAAGAATCTCCCCTTGCCTGGACCCCCAATCAGTGCTCATGGAAGTGAAAATCAAGAGATCAAATTATGCATTTCATTAGGTGAATCTGCTGCACAAGACCTCTTTAAAGTGTTGAAAGGATGTTAATTTGAGGACTAAGGTGCACCTGTGCAAACGAATCAACGCTTTTAAATTGCAGTGTTGGCGAAGTTTTAGCAGTCCCACTGGCTGCTAAATGGATAAACAAGCTTTTCTTGGAAGTATAGTCAAAATGCTCCTTAGAAGCAAGGATGGTGAGACTTCATCTTACATACTTTGGACAGGTTGTCAGGCGGAGATTAATCAGGTTGCAGTTTTATTGGATGGAAAAGAGATAAATGGCTCTCCAAGACCTGCCCCCATCTTTCTTGCTCTGTGGTGATGGGACCAGGGTCCTGCTGCTTTAGCCAGTTCTCTGCCTCAACCTGTGTGCTACACTACCTTCAGGCCAAGCCAACCATTGTGTCGCTAGAGCTTGAGGCTCCTTCAAGACCTGCTTCACCACGCTGCTGGTGCGTACATTGCTTGAGCTTGAGGCTGGTGGATCCTGTTGCCTTGCTTTGCTTGGGTTCAATATCCCATTCAGGCCTGCTTTGCTAGGCTCCCGTGCTACTGACTATTGCTAACTGTTGCTGACCCACCTGCTGTCTACTGCCTACAGGAAGACTCTGCCTGCCTTGCCTGAGGGAAGACTCCACTGTCTGCTTCCTTGACCTTGGAACCCGCAATACGGGAGCTCAGAGAACCCTGCCTAACACAGACATCATGCTTGTACAGTGGAGGAGCATTGAAAAAGAAGCAGACCCTCTATGAGATGGACTGACATGGTGACCTCAGTGATGGGC